GTATATAGGAAGCTCGATCTGGTCTTTAATTATGACCCTTGTGGATCACAAATAGAACTATGTTAGAATGTGATCACTAATCCTGTCTCCTCCTTAGAAGTCTATACTGTAGTGAATTCTGTTTTATAGAAGGTCGTTTCAGATAAAACAAAAAAAAAAACAAATGTCTCTAGGTTCTCTACACAGTTATAAACTTAGAATAATATATACTCTTCGAAATTTTTTTTGCACCATATTCTAAAAGAACCCATGGGAAATTTAGAAACGGAGTTTTTCAGCAATCAAATACCTTTTAGCCATGGTCATTCTGAATTTGGCCACAAGAACTACCTTATTGCTAATTTTTCGGTAGAGCTTTGCCATGTCGATCAAATCATGGCTTTTAGCTCGTGTAAATCGAGCATTTGACCTATAATTTCTAAATACATATATAAATTAAATATTGAATAAAAATCTCTAAAAGAACCCATATGAAAAATTTTAAGATCAATAACATCGTCGAAATTGTTTCTCAAAAAAAAAAAAACATCGTCGAAATGAAACGATGGATGTTTTCATTAGAAGAAATTATAAACAATTCAAAACAAAACGATGGAAATGGGAAAAGCATAATGTTAGTAAATGGGTTTATATACACACGCTTGATAATGGTTGTGAAAGCATTTGAATGTTGAAGCTATGTCTATTAACAGAACCACTCCTGACCAAATCAAAATCAAGTTGGGTTTGATAAGTTTGGTTTAAGCATAATTGAAGTAACAAAATCGAATTGAATTTAGCTTGACTTTGTAATTGTTTTTTACACTAAGCTGATCATGTAATAGTAGAGAAAATTATTATTCTTCTATAAACTGAAGCAAAAATTTAAATTCAGAAAATACATTAAATTAACAAGAGAAAAAGTTAAAATATTCAACATCATTAACAAGTAACAAAACCATTTGTCTGTAATGGTAAGAGAAGAGGCCTTCTAGTCCTTATAATGAAAATCATAAAACAATATTTGTGCTTTGAACACAACGATATCAGTATTCCTCGTGATGTAATTTCTGATGTTCAAAAGGAGAACAAGACACGCGATGTTATCTTCAACACAACGAGCTGTCTTGAGAGCTCCTCTATCTCATGGTTGAAACAAGAACTTGCAATTGAAGTGTACGCATTAGGCTCTCTTCACATTACATCTCCAACGCCTTCTAGCTTACTCGAAGAGGACAAAGCCTGCATCGAATGGTTGGACAAACAGAAACCAAGGTCAGTCATATGCATAAGCGTAGGAACTGTAGCTCAAATGGAAAACAAGGAAGTATTGGAGATGGCTTGGGGATTGTGTAATAGCAACCAACCTTTTTTATGGGTTATCCGACCGGGCTCTATCCTTGGCTCAGACGGGATAGAGTCATTGGCAAAGGAAGTCAGTACAATGGTCTTAGAAAGAGGATACACTGTGAAACGTGCCCCGCAAGTAGAAGTACTTGGACATCATGCAGTGGGAGGATTTTGGAGCCATTGTGGATGGAACTCGACACTCGAGAGCATTATGGAAGGAATTCCAATGATTTGTAGGCCTTTTCAAGGCGAGCAAAAGGTAATCGCAATGAATTTAGAAAGTGTTTGGAAAGTAGGGATTAAGCTTGAAGGTGAAGTGGAAAGAGGAATGGTTGAGAGAGCTGTGAAGAGATTGATTGTGGATGAATAAGGTGAAGAGATGAGGGAGAGAACACTTGTTTTAAAGGAGAAAAACAAAGCCTCTGTGAGATGTGGAGGCGAAACCCTACACTAATCGAAAACTTGCTTTAAAAGAAACCCTAAAACTTGCTTTATAAGAAATCGTATAATCAACAGTAATACGATAACAAACCGACAAACATAATGTCGTTTCTTAAGCCGATGTATAAAAAAGTTCACGTGGGCCAAAACTACTTCCTTTTGTAATGTTTGAAGTGACATTAGAGAGGCAAGTTTCGTGTGTG